TTATCCTTGTATAATTTAGGGCTTATTTTATTTAACCTGCCATAGTTTTGTTGATGGTTTTTGTGGATGAGGCAATGTCTCGCAACCTCGGCATGTTAAGATCTGCCTACTGAAAATATATATTATGAAGTATTATTCTTTATTCTTGTCACCACAGATTGAAAAAAATGAAGGCTGAAATAATGTAAATGACAAAACTAATGATGAAATCTACATAGCAGATGCTTCATTAAATGTGCAAATATATTTTTTTCTTTTGTTGCAGAACATGCCCAGTGTGAAAATCAATGCAGGCTTCTGAAGTTAGTGAGATTTGCGCTGAAGATTTCAAACGGGCAAAAGAGACCTGTTCAAATATACATGAGCGAAATGCTTTACAGCCTCAATTATGCACCAGTTCAGAGAGAACCGAGGCAAAACACATTTCTGCATTTCAATTAGCAAACTCTCTCTGCATGAGGTTGCCAATGCTGATCTGCCAAACAACTGCATTCAAAGACCAAACATCTTCCATACACAAGGGGAGGCTAAACGTGCAAATGAGTTTGAAATTTGTTCCTTATAGTGCACATGTGGTTCAGACTGCTATAAATGCTATTCTTTTTATATTCCTCAATGAATCATGAAACAAATCAGTCAAACTTTCCACAAAAATATTAAGCAGCACAAATTATTTCTGCATGAACACATGTTTCAAATCAGCATATTAGAATGATTTCTGAAGGATCACGTGGGACTGAAGACTGCTGAAAATGCAACTTTCCAATTTGAAAACTGGTATTTAATGTCATTTTTAACAGTAGTTTTTTATCAAATAAATGCAGCCTTGCTGACCATAAGAAAAAACATTAAAGACCCCAAACGTTTGAACAATATACTAGTCAAAGGTATTGGAATAACTTTTTTTTAAAGCCTCTTATGCTCACCAAGGCTGCATTTGATTACAAATACAGTAAAACAGTATTATTGTGAAATATAAAAATAACTTTTTTTATATATTAATATTTTCAAATGTAATTTTCAGAATAAACACACAAGTAATGGCTGCTGAAAATTCAGTTTTGCCAACACAGGAATAAATAACATTTACAAATATATTAAAATGGATAATTATTTTAATTAATAATATTTCCAAATTATTCCGAACTTATTTTTTTCCATGTTTAAATGCAGTGTGTGTATATATATATATATATATATATATATATACACACAC